AAAAAAAAAAAAAAAAAGTGAAAACTGTGTAATGTTTTGTTGTTATTAAAAAGGTAAAATCTTTTTCTTTATGATTGGCTTGTTCTTTGCTTTATTTCAAAAAAGGGAGGTTTATTATGTCAGAGAGAGTAGACACACTCCCTTTGTGCTTATGAGTATCTCATTGAGAATTTTTATAAATAATGACCCAATCTGAAGCTGTTGTTCATCAGTGGATGGTTCAAATAAACTAAACATTTTTGAAACAAAAACTTTGAGACATATATCGCCTAGAATGTGTCTCTCAAAGGTTGAAACAATAGACAAAGACCATTTTCAGTAGTCACACATGGGTCTCTAAAGGGAGCCCCTTTTTTCTTTCTTTTTTCTCTTTAATGATTCCAAGAGAATATTGTGAAAATGAGTTGTTGGCTGAAATATTTGGGTTTTTGCCTCAACGTTATTTTGATGAACTCTATGATTACATGAATGCCATCATGCATAATGTCATTGAAGGTGTCAATGAACGATTAGAAGACATGCACAAAGATAAAGCAATAGAAATATTTCATGTAATTAAAATATACACGGCAATCAAATACAGTCATTAACACGTGTGTAGATCATTAGAGCATTTGAAAATAAGCTAGAAATTCGCCTAGACGACTGTTTTAATACCTTACAACAATATGTGTACAGTTACGCCTGGAAGATACCCAATAACCTGAATATTGAACTATTCAATCATACAATTGACTTGAATTTATCAAAAGATAAAGAACTTGAATTGGATGAAAATATAAAAAGTTTAAAAAGAAAGATTCGTGCTGTAAAGATAGTTTATTCAAAATATTACATACAACTCACACTGCCTCTCTTCAGGAGCAACTCTTCAATAGCAGGTTAAAAAGGGATTTGGCATCGATTGAAAGTCAGAAAAAGTCAATAGAACCTTATCAGCAATTAGTAACGATGCTAAGAGAAGCAAAAGAGGAACATCAAGGTAATTATGTATACACATAAACATAGGTCCTCCCTAACGTGAAGTGGCAGTATTGAATACGGAAGATGCAGTAAAAAAGATTATATATCAACTAGATGTATTAAAACAGCTCATGGAAGACGTATACGCCAAAACTAAAAATCAGCCATCTCATGTCGAACCAGATGAAAAGATAAAACGACTGAGAAAAAACATCAAAGAGTTAATTGATGCTCAATCATGAGAAGTGTAGATAATAATAAAGTGTAAATATTTATAAAGTCTTAGGCTAATACTTTAATCACGCCATCTCTATCTCCACTAATGATCATTGGGTAAGGTAACTCGGTAAGAATGATGTCTGTGATGGCATCTATGTGGTTTCTGAGTAAATACTGTTGTTGTGCTACGGAGTTCGTCAGTGCATTCGTGCTTGCCGTAGTGTTGTTGTTACGAATACTGTTTCCATGGTGATTGTTGGTTCTATTGAACTCAAAATGGAATTTTGTATGCTCAATCGTATTCGTACTATACCTTGGTTTACTCTCGTCTAATTCTGTACCCAAGATAACTCCCGAATTTTCTATTCTCGCTGTATCCCAAAATCGTATCTTTCGATCGGATCCTCCAGTGATCATCAGCCGACAATCAGCAGGCGCTGCAATGGCTCGGATTGAATTCTCTGTAAAATTGGATTCATTCATCGTGAACGAATTGACTAGTATTTCTCGATCACCCGGCGTTTCAAGAGGCTACTACTACTGTTAATTCATTGGGGGGGGGGCTTTTATAAATTGCACAAACCTTGTATGCCTCAAGTATCACTCCCGTTGTCTTTTCATCCCCCGATTTTACAGCAAATACCTCTGTGCACTGTAAGTTGACAATGTCCCATATAGACACTTCATTTTTGCCAGAAGCAATGATCACTTGCTTGTTTTCCGCTCGTGGATCCTGATTCAGTAAGAGCACGCTGATACGGCTCTTGCTCGGATGAAGCCACGATTTGAGTGGAATCTGAAATCGTAGGTCGTATAAGGTCAATATGCCTCTCATGGTTCCTACGAGTAACCATGTATTCAACTTGTCAATCGTCATTGCTGTTATCACTCCGTGACTTTGAGGATTTTGTAATTTCCAAATGATCTCCATCGTTAATAGGTCCAAGGCATAGATGCGGCCTTTTGTTGTAGTAAATATCAGAATGGATTTGGATCCCGCCATCGTGTTTGAAGTGTCTGTCATGTGTAAGTATTCCCTTGCTTTCTGTAGACTATCATTACTCACTGCTAGTTATATGTCTCAAATGAAGCGCATATTCATCCTGTAGTTGAAATTCTCGCACTGGAATACATTTTCCAAATTTCAGCGCTGTTCCTGCATTATGAATATCCACTCTAACAAGCGTGAGTGATATTTAAAAGAATCACATTTTATATATACCGAAAGATATGGATGCTTCCATTATCTGAGGCAGATGCGATGCTGTAGGTTTGTTGAATGAACGTGATGCATTTTATCCTACCACCTATAGACTAGATTGTAAAAAAATAACAATGTTTGACAGATTACCTCAGCTTACCTTGCTGATTATATGTCACCCTCGATCTATTTGTGACATTTCTTTCAAGCCTTGAACAATCCCATATCTTGACTGAACCATCATCAGAACATGATGCAAATAGCAAATTATCCCATGAAATAGCCAATTGGTTAATAGAGGCTGTGTGTTCAGTGAAATGAGCCACCAAGATCCCCTCAGGTCTCCAATTGGCCATGGTCCTAAACGGTGCCATGCCTTGAGGTAATCTTCTGATGCGTTTCAAAACACTTGGATCTCCAATAAATTCGGGTATATAGGGAGGAAAAGCTTCCATGGCAGTTTTGTATAAAAGTTTTTGGAGGTGTGCATAACCAACTACACCTTTGGGTCAGTTGAATGTTTATACTGGTTATAAATGTACCTGAGCTGACATCTAATGTTTCCTTGTCATTTTCATCCTTGCATTTCTCTACCATGCTCAAACTGATGGGTTCGTCCATTTTCGTGTTTTTACTTTTGATCGCGTCCATGGTCAAGATGATACCTTTGCGTATATATAAGTACCGCACGAAACTATGCCTGTGAATAATCTTACTCTTTGGGCGCTCAAGGCTCTTTGGTAAACTTGTTCCAAAGCTATATTCAGATGGACTTGCTTTGGGCGCTTCCACCGAATCACCTGTTGTATTAATCGGAACAGGTGCCGTCTTATGGTTGTCCTGAGCGAGAGCCCTGACATGTGGCTGATTAGCTATTTGATTCACTTTACAAAGATCTTCACGGGAATGCGATCTGATGGGCTTTGCTTTGATCGTGGTTCTCTGTACACTTGTTTTTGCATTATGAATTTTATGAGACAAGTCTGGTAAGAAGACTGTCATGGGCGTCACACCCAGGTTTTTTAACAGGACTTCTTCCTTGCCCATGTTTTCATACTCATCTTTTGAACTAGGGCGGTTGCTTCTCGTTTTCACGCGTGATACTTTGAATATGTAGTCTCGCATGTGTCTCAGCTTTTCCTCATCGTCCAGGCTCATACCAACTGACCGTAGGCGTTCTAGAAAAGCTACATCTCTAAAAGGAGGTGAGTACATGTCATTTGATTTTTTTTTTTCTTATTTTACTCTTCAGAGTTTTCATCTTCTTTTTCATTCATTCCTATGGCTTATTTCAGTCAATGATGTTGCTCACAAGCTTGTATATGTTATATACCCATGATGGCCGACGATCCAGATTTGAAGGATTCTCTTTGCTTTTTCCAGAAAGTAGATCTTGTAGTGGCCTTGGTAGCCCATAGGATAGCCTGTTCATAGACTTGACGTGGTATCTAAACAACATGTTACAAAAAAAAATGTCTCTACAAAAAATAGAGTAGTTACAGGTGATTCTATATTCTGTAGCAGCAGCTCTTCATTAATATCTGCTATATCTGATCTTAAAAAGGGTCGTAACAAAGGATACACGATACACCAAACGTCTGTTTCGGGCAAATGTTTGATAGCAGAAGAAATAAATCCAACAGATCCATCACGGATCCATATATTGGGGTGGCACATCAGAGGCCAGACGATACTGACAATTTCCCAAATTTTCATCTTTGGAAATAGACCCAGGTCAGCTAAACTGGTTAGTGAATTGAGCACCTTTTCGACTACAAACTCTTCAGGATCCGTAAGAGCTTGAATCATGAGCGGTAGGATGTATTCTTCCAAACTTCGTGCTCCCACAAAGGTACCAACACCTTTTATGCTCTCAAAAAATGCACTAGATAGTGTTAATAAAGATACGCCTATAGTGTATCATTTACCTTCTCAGCATCCAATCCTTGTCGTTCAGATAAGTGATCATATGACTTAGGAGCACATCATTTGCCTTTTGTCGACCAAAAAACACACATAGTGAAGTGATGTTGGTCAATAAGGCTCGCTTGACAGAACTACTTTTGTCGATCAGCAGCAGGGTCGTTTGTTCTTGAATGACGGATTGAAGTTCCTGAAGATAAGAGTCATACGAGGACTATATATATACAATGGGATTAAAATAAGCACAGAAAAAAGAAAAGTATACACTTGCCTCAAAATCCAAATCTTCAGATTCAAGGTCGGAAGGATAGATATCATCTGTCTTGAGAAACTAGCGAGAGACATGAGCGTAAATGTATAAACAATGACAAAGCTCTTACCTGTGTCATTTCCAAGAATCTTAGGGCAGTCTCTGCTAGTAAAGCAATACAAGAGGCATAGGTTGATCTGACGAGAGCATCTGTATCAGTTGTAAATGATCGAAGGCTCGGTAAGATATATTCTGGAAATATTCTTGCGTTAATGGGAGATATGGATTCTACCATACACAGCTATATACAGATGATATGAGTCACACAAAAAAAAAAACGCATGTTTACTTACAATTCGAGTCAAGGTCTTTATTGCATTTGCTCTCACCAGTGCTGATTCATCTGTTAATAAGCACATCAAGTAAGGGACTAGACGGTCAAGTTTGACATCGTCAGGAACTTTTTCTCCGAGGGCGAAAAGTATATCGAGTGCTTTCAGTTTAGAGCTTGGATAAAGAGTGTTTCGAATCAATGAACAAATGAATGAAAGCAGGATGAGTGATCCTTCCTCTACACACAAAAACATATCAGTTGTTTGAAACAGCGTATCAAGACATGGATTACCTCCAGGTTTGTATACGACACCATCTTCGTGTGTACTAGAAATATGACTGTGATTTGGAAAGGTGACCTCGGGAGACAATAGTATCTAGAATACACTGTTACCGAAAAAGCCCTTTTATTGAACACATACTTACTGATGATGCAGTGGCTGTGTTGAATGAATCTATGTATAGATGTTATAAATAACCCAATCATATTCACAGCTATACCTTTTCGTTTCTTGTGTTTTTCTTCATCCGCGTCGTCAGAGGATACATAATCCATAATCTTTTCAAAATCGAAAAAAACGCGTTCAATCTTCTCATCCGCATCCGTTAGCTTTCTGCTTGTCATGTTGGGGTAAGCTGAAGATAAGGCAGAGAAGAGAGTTGTATCCTTTTGCTCGACTTTATCAGTTAAAGAGCTCATGTACTGGTATAAGAAAGAATAAAAGTAATGAGGAAAGGCTTTTCCGTGCCATTGAGTTAAATAGTCTTGTGCTGATAACCGAGCAGTTGGATCAATCTGTATCATGTGTTGTACTAGTTCTCTAATGTTCTTGTCTTCAATCTTGTTCAGGCTTGTACTTGGATTATATTCCCCACTCTTGTATTTGAATAGCTGTGATAACGTAAATAGGGAAGAACCTTCTAAAAAGAGTTCTGCAATCACGCAGCTACAAAATGTCAATATATGGATGAGGGAGTTTTTTTTTTCTTTTTTTTTTCTTACCCAAGTGAGAATATGTCCATCTCTGGTGTGAGTTCATTCAGATAATCATCCTCATCCATCATTTTCTATTGTTACAATGTAAACAAATGCATCTTTTTATCACATTGTTTTTAATTTACAATGCGTTGATCTATCTCTGTTCCCGCTTTGTAAAACCGCTCAGGGGCTATGTAACACGTTCTTCTAGACGATGTATCAAAAAAGAATGAAAAATCGGCAGGATTATCCTACATGGGTGTAAATGGTTTGATAAAGTGGTTCTGTTTTCTATATGTACCTCTGGTAAATAAGTTGGTTTAAAAGAAGCAAAGTCGACTATAAATGCCCAATTCCAGGATGTGACAAGAACATTCTCTGTTTTGATATCGCCGTGATATACCTTTCTTGAGTGAAAATCAGCAACTCCACGTATGAGTTGATAAGCAATCCATTTTTTTTCAATGGTTGTTAGAAAGGGCCGTGTGCTAATAAACGAGATGTGTAAGGATCTAGAAAAAATGTATGTAAATATTCTTTACCTGATCCTATCATACAGGTTGCTATACAGATACTGTCTAACAAGATAGGCTGCTCTATCTGTCTCTAGTATCCTCTGAAAGGAAAAGGCATTATGCACATCGGATAAAGTCTTGTATTCCTCTATATAGAAAGTGTTGGCTCTTTCAAAGTATATATCTATATGTCATATGAACCTTTCAATTTCTTCACTCTCTTCTTTAGTGACATTCCTAACTCTGGCTTAACAAATATCTTAACAACCACGTAACCGTCCCTTTCGTGTCTGCCTAGAATGGTCTTCATGAATCGAGCATTGCCAATACTATATAAAATATATGCATAAATATACAACAGTTGTAGTTGTTGACAATGTATGAAAGCCACCTTTTCTGATAGTTGATGTCATTCAGCTCGCTTACATAACTGTCGATTCCTGCAATGGCTGTCACAGTTGAGATTTTGTTACCCATCTTGAAAATGAAGCAGGATGCAGACAAAGTAGAAAAAAAAAGGTAAATGTTACAGGCCAATGAAATTAAATGGCCGACATGAAACGTTATATCGCCCTAATGCATGATTTCTGGTCATCCTTCTTATTTTAACAATATTTTAACCCTCCACTCCCTCTTTAATCCTATCATAATTCAATCCTTCATCTATGATTCAATAAACGGGGCACCCGCTATGAGTGCTGTCCCCTAAAAAAAATCGCCCTGTAGAAAGACAGCCACGTACAATATTTAATGACCCTTTATCCATAACAGTTCACACAGTTATTAAATATATATCATCTACTGAAATGTCTGCCAACTTTAAAAGTATCTCCATCTCTATTACTGCTGATTTTGTTTGCCCTACTGTTCCAGATTATGAGGAAAGTGGTCAGACCATCATTACTACGTCTGATAAGTTCGAGGAATGGTTCAAAAAGGACGCGTTATCGCATGCTAAGTGGGTCTTTAAACAACAGTATCCCGTTGCAAGCAATCTCCAGTTCATCGAGGAGCTCATTCTTGAAGCTTTGCCAGCTCACACCACCTTCTATTTGTGTGATCATGCTGGTGTTGGTAAGAAGAAAGCTACATTTGGCGCCTAACCGAGAAGCCAAATACAGAAGCTATATCCAGAAAAAAGCAGAAGAAAGTTCAAAGAATGATTCACAACAATCAATAGACGATAATAGCAGGACATCTACTTTTGCCGATCTGCCTAGGAATGTAAGAAGGAATATTGTACGAGGCGAAGAATACAAGAAAAAAAAGTACGAAGCAAAAATAAAAAGAAAGCCTGAAGAAGCACACAAATGGAAAGCTAAAGTCGATACGTACCAAAAAAGGATTGATGGATACAAAATGGCTGTTTTGGTAAGATGCCTTATTTTCGTGCTACAAGATATTGACAATGTAACATTCTTACTTCACAGGCTAGGAAAGTCGAAAGGAGCAATATAGCAAGAGTTGAGAGCACTGTTGCAGGAGAAAGTCAACTCACCAGTAAAAATAATGACGAGGATGACGTGGAAGAAGAAGAGCTGATCACAGGCAACACCACAGATTTAACAAGAAGGAGATTACGCTGTTTAAAATCTGCTCTGAAAAGCCTACTTCTCAATGACAGAAAAGATGCATTCAGTATCGACGACCTGAAAAAGGAATGTTCTGACGTCAAAGAAAAAGAAGCATACCCTTGCCTGCTGATTTTGAATGCTTTGAAGTCGTATATTCCAAAGAAGAAGGAACGGCTCATTATAGCTCATCAATTACCACTTTGCATCCTAGCGAATGATACTCTTTTGTATGCTGGCTACAGAAAGCTTTGTCCGCAGCCATCTGTTTCTACACTACATGTCTTAAGAATAGACGAGCCATCATTGTATCAAATATTGACCAGACTGCCTTGTGCATTGGCAATATTCAGCTATGATAACTATCTCATAGAATCAGTTGAAGAAGCTCGCCAAAACAAAGATGCTGTTTTTAGCTCATTTTTTGATATGAATGATATAGCAACGGTGTGAAAGCCCAACGGTCTAGAGTTTGCTCAAAATATAACACTGTTGCCTGGAATAAAGACCGCTTGCTTGCTTGGAACAAAGGATGCTGTGGGTGATTCAAACAATAAGAAAGGTCCCGCCTCATATGAATTGACAGATCATTCAATTGTGAAAGAGGAATCTAAAAAGCCGAAAGAAACTCTTGTACAAGAAATCCAAGGCTTGCAATCTGAAGTCGTTCAGATAGAAAAATTGCTTAAAGATGCATTGAAGAACAACAATAACAGAGACTTCTCCAAGGACATCAAAGACTTGAAGGCCAAATGGAGAAATAGCAGCCTTGAAGAAAAGGTGACTTATACAACGCTATCGAACAAGTTAAAGATGAACGAAATTAGTCGTTTTTGTCTGTGCAAGCAGCAAGAGATAAACTGAAGTTGAAAAGACAACTGATGCATTTTAAAAGGGTAGCGATGAAGCAAAAACCTGCAATTACCCACGAAACAACCACTGCCTCCCAAAGCAGCAATACTCAGTGGCATATTGTCCAGAAATATGGTCATGGGATTGCTAAAGTGGAAGATTGTCAACTAAGCCCACAGGTTAATCCTTCTGAAGAGTTCATTTTTTCTGGCACAGATAATGGTCTGAAGACTATGACAAGCACTGCTCCCCTGACAATGAAACGATTCAAGTATCATCTTGAGCTACGCGATAAGTACAAAGCATTGGAAAATATCGATGAGTGTAAAGAAGAAGCTCAGAAAATAGTGAGCAAGTATAGCGGTGAAGAATATGATGCAAACTCATTTCTGCAGCTACCACCTTCTATGGCAATAAAGGCAGGCGATATAGATATTGGCTCAGGATATTATAATGTCCGAAGAAAGCTGGAAAAAGCAAAGAAGTCAGCAGAAGGCAAAGCAGTACAAGCCATTGAAAATAATCTTTCAAAGTTAGACTTAAAGATGGCAACAAGCGTTGAGCAAGCAATGAATATACACCAGCAACGTGTCAGTAACCGTTTAGCTCAGAAATTTTTATAATTCCAAAAAGAGAGTCAAATTGAAAAGGACATGTGAAATACAAAACGACCACTTTCGAAGACGCTTGTATGCGAAAGAAAGAACGTTTTTGATAGGGAAGAAAGGTAAAGAGCACAGTAATATACGATTGATGAATACTAACTATTATATAAACTATTTAGTAAAAGGTAGAAGCAGGCCATGTCCTATCATGTTTATCAGAGACAGAGGCATGGGGGTAGGCTCAACCATAAAGGGATATAGAAGATATGATGGAAAATGGAAGCAGTGCATGCATGGTATGAACATCAATGTGTGCATCACAAATGAAAACATGACATCACAAACATGCATGTACTGCTTCTCCAAGCTGGACCATTCCATCCATCGAAAGGTTATAAAAGGCAAAGAAATCAAGACAAAGGCCAAAGGAGCGTTCTTGCGCCGTAATCTTGACTGTGTTTTGGTCACAAAAAAGTTGCCAAACCTAGAGATAACCTGTCTGCCCTTGCCATTGGTCTTTCTGGCCTTTGCTCACTGCTCTTTCAGGAAACATTTCCTGAACTATCTGCTAAAATCAGCCACTGTAGCACTGAATTTATAAGCAAGACCGCATCCCTCCTAAATGCAAGAGAATGCTGGGATACTGGCCATGATGTCAGTAATCGGGGTAAGTCAAAGACATTTGAAAAAAATGGCTTCTAATATTCTTCAATAGATCGAGTTGTGACTTCTTAATTGCGGTGGCAGTTTAACGTTCCCGAAAAAACAATGCATTGACATCCTTGAAGGACTCTCTTGTAATCAAAAATAGTCAACTATTTGTTGGACAATAAAGATTATGTTGATTTTATACTGTACACATCTAAATAGCTACTTTACTGTTGTATGACAGTCCTTAAAAGGGGATGCACGCAATCAACCCTTCTTAGAATCATCTGATAATGCTTTTTTTTTTTTCTTAAGCCTGATGACTTGATGACTATAGAAAACATCAGCTGATGATGAGAGAATCAGTTTACATGTATAAATAATTGATCAGGTTTATTAAATGTGGTATGTATATATAGGAGAGGTTAGTTAAAGGCTCTACCATTTGACAAAGAGGCGTACATAATTTCAATTTGTGATTCATACACTTTCTTTGCATTTTCACGTCTCAACTTGAAAGTGGGTGTCAAGAGATCATTTTCAATCGAGAATTCGTTGGGTGTAAGGTAGACACTTCTGATCTGTTCGAATCCCTTAAGGTCATTTTCTTTACCGTATGCTGTTAACTCCTTCAGCAATGCCTTTTTCACTTCATCGGATGCATAAGGGTCCTCAACTGTAGGGAAATGTTCTTTGGCCCAAGCAGAGAATGCGTCTTTATCAGGTACAATGATGCCTACTAATGAAGACTGCATAGAGTCACCATAGACAAAGGCCTGTGCAACCAATTCGTGCTTTTGGTAAACACCTTCGATCTTTTCAGGTGCAATGTATTCTCCCTAATCAAAAATTAACACAAAGGGTTCTTTTCATTCTGTTTTTTTTTTTTTTTTTTTTTACCTGAGATAGCTTGAAGATGTTCTTTAGACGGTCAATGATTACTAAGCGATTGGCAGAATCGAATTGACCGATATCTCCTGTATGCAACCAACCATCCTTATCAATTGCTTCGGCAGTCTTTTCGGGTAATTGATAGTATCCTTGCATGATGGAGGTACCTCGAATACAGATTTCACCACGAGGAAAAGGTTTGTCTGTTGAGAAATATTCCATTTCAGGCACATCAACCAACTTAATTTCTGAACAAGGGAAAGGTGCACCAACAACACCTGATGTATTATCATCCGTAATGGTCTATCATCAAACATATTAGCTTTTATAAATTTCGTATGTCTATTTTACCAATGCTCCACCACAAAAGTTTTCTGTTTGTCCATATCCTTCAAACACCTTGGCTGAAAAACAAATTCGCATGAAATCCATCACATCAGGTGAGACAGGAGCAGATCCACTCAGAATAAAACGAAGTCTACCACCCAATTTTTGTCGAATCTAATGACCTCTCCCTGTTACCAACATATGCTTATAAATAATAAAAAAAGACTTGCCTGTGTAAAGACGACACGGTCCCAAAGCCAGTGATAAACTGTCTTTGAGAGATGCCTTTTCTTGGATTGGAAGGCTGTATTAAACAAGTAAGCTGAAACGCCTCCCTTTGCTTTAACGCCAGCCAGTACTTTGTCATAGATACGGTTGAAGAGTCGAGGCACTGAGCAAAAGACGGTGGGTCTCAATTCTGCAATGTCATCTAATAGTTTAAGTGTATCTCCCTATTACGTAATATGAATATACTTTTTTTTGGGAATTAAAATTAATATACCTGGTAGTAACCGATGGCTGCTCCTCTGAACAAATGAATGCCTTGTGCAACACGTTCGAATACATGAGCAAGAGGGAGATATGAGATATAGATATCATCTGAATTGACATCAGCAAATGTGCCTTTGTCACCTAGAGCTGCAATGGCTGAGATGGCTGCTACACAATTAGCCTGAGTTATAACAGCGCCTTTAGGAACACCGGTTGTTCCGCTATGTAATATTGCTTAGTTGATCGTTTATATAATTTTTTTCCCGAAATGTGTACCTAGTGTAGCAAATGGTAGCAATATCCTCTGGCTTGGGCAAATCTGATTCTGATGTAACCTCGGAACCCATCGTTTCGACTTCTCGGAAAGTGTACACCTTGATACCTGCAGCTTCGGCCTCAGCTTTCTTTGCAGCGTCTACTTCATCATCCATGATGATGGCTGTACTGATGGTAGCGATTTGAGACTTTAATCTGATGATGTTATCCAATTTGTCGGCACTCAAGACAATATATTCCATACTTGTCTGGTTAATAATGTATTCCATTGCTTCGGCACCTAATGTGTCGTAAAGTGCAACAATCATAAATGCTTGTCTGTAAGATGCAATTTCGGTCATAGTCTATGAAACATAAGTTCTCTGAAAGAATATCCCTATGTGTATTACCCATTCTGGTCTATTGACAGAATAAATGCCAATGGCATGTTGACGTTTTAAGCCAAGCTGCAGCATACCCTTTCCGAAATTCTCAATACGCGTGCGAACTTCTGGATAATTCTGCCAGACATATTCCTTTGCTACGCCATTTTCTATCCGACGTGTGCCCATGAAAGGTTTATCTAATTGATTCTCTTTTTAATGTCATGGCAAGACTTTATATAATGTGAACTTACCACCCGCTGAATCATAGCCATGGACAAAGATATCCCAAGCGGTAAAGACTCCTTCTGGATGATCAACCAGTTTGTCTGCAAATTTGAAGTGACGAAAAGGTACAGTTTCACCCTCTTTCTTTTCAGATCCTGGAGCTGGTACAGAATAAGGTGGGTCAAACGCAGGCGGCATAGTGTGTGTTGCAGGA